CAGAGGGGGAGAGGAAGGAGTTCTGGCAGGACTTTCTGAGTCGGTTTTCCTCCTTTGGTGACAGATCACAGAAGTTGGCATGGCTACTCAAGTACATTCCACAAAGAGCATAGTTACAAGTTAACCCATAGTTGCCTAACAACACAGTTAACCCATAGTTGCACAGTTCCATGTGGAGGGGTGATCTCTCTCACTTTGATGGTCATATTGACTGAGGAAGGCAGGCTGGAATTAGTGGGAAACAAAGAACAAGCCTCCAGTATCAAGAAGGAGTTTAATCTCCCTCCCTCTTGGAATTAGAATTACCTGGGCTCATGGAGAGAGACGACAGTGTGATGTATAGGAGCCTGTGATGGATGCTCTGGGACCACTCAGTCTTATTGCTGAACTAACTGAAAGGAAAATTTTTTTTAAAAACTTAATTTTATTGGTACATTTTAGGTATACAGTATAATGACATTCATCATCAGAAATTTGCACCTTTACATAGTCTCTCTTGGTTCTTATATTTCCCTCTTCCACTGCCTCCCTTCAACCCTTCCATCCCTCCCTATTTACAATGACTTTGATTCCATTTTTCCATTTTCTCATATTAATTCCATTCCCTTCTTGCCTTTTCCCTACCCCTCCCACTTCCCCTTCCCCTTTGCCCTTTTTCTTCCTATTTCACATTATCTATTATACCTTTTAGTCCTTATTTACACTTTCAGTTTTTCACAGTAGAGAAACTACTCAGTATTTACACATGTGTCCTATTTATTTCACTTAAGAGTGTTGCCTCAATGTGCATCCATTTAGCTGTAAACACCTCTAATTTCTCATTTTTTATGGCTGAGTAGTACTCCATTTCATTAAAAAAAAAACCCCACATTATCTTTATCCAGTCTCCAGTTGATGGGCATTTGAGCTGTTTCCAAGTTTTAGCTATTAGAAACTATGCTGCTATGAACATGGGTGCATACATATCACTGTGGTATGGTACTTTTAATTCTATGGGGAAGATACCCAGCAGGGGAATAGCTAGGTGAAATAGGACTTCCAGTCCCATTTGTTTTTTGAGGCATCTCCATACAGATTTCCACAGGGGTTGCACCAGTGTATTCTCCCATCAGTGAAGTAGTGTTCCTCTTTCCCCATGCCCCACTAGCATTTCCTATTGGTTGATTTCATGATAGCAGCCATTCTTTCTGGGATGAAGTGGAATCTCAGCATTGTTTTCATTTGCATCTCTCAAATAACCAGTGATGTTGAACATTTTTTTCATATGTTTATTTGCTATTTCTACTTCTTTCTCTGAGAAGGGTCTGTTCATTTCAAATGCC